TGGGACATTTGTTGTTGACTTCTGAAGCTATAGACGCTATAGGACTTGTGATAAATTGATCTACAATCATAGAGATGGATTTGATGAACTTACTTATATAAGTGGCTTCACTTATCCAGTCTGAGAGAGTAAAAAAACAAATATTTCTGTTTAATGCTAATATTTATATGGGTATCTATTGTTATGTTGAACTACATTATTATGCTATTTAATTTGATGTACAGACCTTGATTAGTTAATATGTGTGTGTTTATTGTTTAAGAAATTACATTTTAAATTTTGATAAATAAAGTCTTTATAATATTTGTAGAGAAATTGTGATGGTAAAAACAGTTCTTATTCTGGATATCATTTTCACTATGGTTGATGCCCTATTTTATCTCTTAAGTGGCCCCTTATTTTCTTTATCATTTGTTCACTTATTACTGAGAATGAACCAGTCTCTGGAGTAAATAGCATTGTGCTATCTATTTCATATCTTTTAAGCCACTTTTTTTCCTAGGTATTTTACAAATAAACTGACCAGCCAAAGTTTATTGTTTTTAGTTTATATTCAAATAATGCCATGCTTTTTTCATAACTGTTTTTATTAAGTATTTCTTTTGTAACACCCTCTTGTAATTTAATATTTATTTAAATGTACCTGTCACAGGAAAGATCACAGCATCGTAAAGCAGTGTCGGGCACTAAAGAAATCACTTTCAGTTCTCAAATTCGTAAAGCCATTGCCTATTAATCAGCAGTGGAAATCGGCGGTCTGCCCCTTTTGTTCAAATCCTTGACACTTTTGCAGACAGCAATTTGTCAGTTGTGTAGAAGCTTCATGAAGTCAAACCTCTCAGCATTGTTCTGTGCCTGGAAACAGAGATGGACATAATATAACCCACAAGAAGGTTATTATTATATTGGAACATTAGCCTGGATGATCAAAAAACTTAGTAAGAATGTTAGTTTATCTAATCACTGCAGTCCTACAGACTTTACTGAGTGCATGCTTGTTACTGATCAGTAACTTATTAGGAGGTAAAGCCAGGTTTAGGACAACAGCCCCAAAGTCTTCACCTTCAAAAGTCCAGTCAGCAACGGCAGCTCCCAAATATATTGGTCTTAACCAATATATTGTAAAAATGCAAAACAAAAAAATTAGTTTCCTCTTAAGCATTTGTCAGACCAGATCTTGTGACATCCCAAAAGAAAATCATTGACAGGTGAATACATGTATTTATATGTGAAACTTTATTAAATGTAAATGTTTTTAATGTTAATGTTTTAATTTTTATGTTTGAAAATTATTGACACACTACAGTAACAATTGATGTTTTCAAAACAGCCTTTCATGGCTAGAAATTATATTTTTCTTGTTAATATGTTAACATATTTAGCTATCTATATAAGCAGTAATGTGTTTATGACTTTGACATTACAGGCAGTAATTATTGTAATAATTGTAAGGACTTCACACCAATGCATAAACTTTGGATACGGCCCAGAGAAGGGTTATGTAAAGGTTTTGCTTCATCCCACTCTTGTCCGTGTTGTTTCCTCCCAATGTAGCAGGAACTAGCAGCCTCTTGTATTCCCAGAGCTGCTAAAAGTATTCATCTCTTTGATCTCCCTTGGGAGTCAAACTCCTAGCAGAAACCAATGTCTTCTTCAGCTGTCCTCCACACACATTCATCCTGCAGCTCTAGCAGGTAGTCATTTGTTTGCTTAAGTGTACAGGGTTCCCAGAGCCCTAAGCCTTCTAACGCCCTTACGCCATGGACACACACACACACAAATTCACACCGGTCTACTGAATTTAAACTTGCTCTAGCAAAGTGAATTGGCTAACATCTCATTAATGAACTGTATTACCAAATATCACAACTATAAACACATATATATTCAAGCTGCCATCCAGATACCTGAATACCAGGTATCTTACGGTCATATTTATTCAATATAAAAATAAGAAGTTAACCTACTTCTTTGCTCGGCGGCTGTTGATTTTATGATTCACCAATGATTCTGTCTCAAAATTTACTCTAACATCTGCTGGAAGGTTATGTTATAGGCTTGACACATGGTGCACAATCATTATTAAAGATGCATTTATTGGTGCCTGTATGCCAGTTAAAGAACTATACAACAAGGGAAGTTTGTTTTCATGTTTTATTAACAATTGCTACTGCTTGATATTTTCATACAAGTGATATGTTCGTGTTGATTAGTGGTTTAGTTAAGGGTCGGTTCTTTGATGGCACATCAGTACATTTTGTGACAGGCTTCATGAGTCCCGTCCAGACCTTGTTTGGGTGCACTGTGATCCCATTTTCAGCACTTCAATCCCCAAATCCCAGAGGCGCAGATTCTTTGCTGCCCCATTAACTGACCTTGTAGTTGGTGTTTTCCTTCGCCCCATTTAGTTCCACTTGCCTATTGCTTTAGTTGTGCTTAATTTGTTTGGAGATCGGTTTACAAAAGAAAAGTGTAATCCCTCAGGAATGGTCTTTACACATAAACCAGTGACTCTCAGAGAAGACACAGATTTTCTGCTTCACTGGGAACTTCAAACATAATACCAGCTCATAACCTGTACTATTACTTAGGAAAGAAATATTGCTCTTAAACTTTTTACAGCAAACAAAAATAATCAAAACAAACAAACCAAAAAGCATTTAATTTTTTTATCTTTTGAAATTGCCTATTTTGTGCATAAAAATAATAATGCAAAATTTGGAAACATTTTAATAATTTGTATTTACATAATAACACTAATGAAACTCATCAGTATCTTTTGCATTAAAAGTAATCACTATTGTAAATATGCCATTCCATAATAGGCCACAGTTGTGACAGTCTATTATCATATTTTTATTGAGATTAAAAAAACCTGAAGAAAAAAAACAAAAACACAAAGACAAACAAGGCAAATTCCAGTTGATCATAAAAATATAAAGGGGCTAGTTTATTAAAACTGGAGAAAAGAAATAAGAAAAAAGTGGGGGTTGTTACCTTTAGTGACCAATCAGAACTCTTCTTAATTTTTTTCTGTAAAATGAACAGTTACACCCACTTGGTTGCTATTGGCAACAACTTCTCTATTGTCCTCATTTGCTGTTTTTTCATTTTAATTAATCAGTCTCTATAGTTTTTAAACAGCGAAGAACCTAAAATTGAAGGGAGTGGAAAAGCAAGGACATCAAGGAACATTAAAAAAGGGGGAAATGAGACAAGGAATACAAATATACTTTTTTAATATTTAATAAATATATTCAAGGGACAAAAAAATAAAAATAATATTCATATTTAATACAATACACAGTGGTGTCCATAAAAAATATATTGGAGTTTTTTTTTTTTGTATTATCCTATGACTAACTGGCTCCACCAACTAACAACTTACATATAAACACATATGCAATGCATATGCATTGACTTTGCCTTTAACCACTACTACTACTAACGAGTAGCTGCCTTGTATTTAATATCCGTGCAGGCCTACACATCTAAATGAGCATTTATTTGCACATTAATCATATAACAAGAAATCACATTATTACCATAGAATGCACCGAACAAGTATAAAAAGGACATGTGCAACACAAAGTAAAAAAATAAGCATAGACTTTTTTTCTCAATAAACAAGTGCAAGCAAGTAGAACATGGTTTAAAAGTGTGCTAACAGCCCATTGTTCCCTCTATTTCTTTAATGTATACAAAACACAAGTCTTGCGGATGACAAAACAGATAACTACTGATTCCTGCCACTGTACTGGTAGCCACTAAACACCTTAAACATCAAAAGTTTGCAAATTCACTTTATCAGCTTCTTCCTAAAAAGTAATTTTGCACATAAAATCCATTATGCAGAGTGACTATTTGTTTTACATTGTTGATGGGCATACATTAAAGCTTGCAACGCGAGAAAAACATCCAGAAAAGTGTGCCCACTGAATTACTGACATCCTCTTTACCTTCCTCCTTCCTGAACCAAATGTGTCTGCCAGCTCAGTATGACCCAAGTGTTGCTGCACCTTGGCAGAAGCCTGCTAATGGCTTCATTACCACTTTAATTACCCCTAAGAGATCCAGTGATGTGCTGCAGCTTTTGGGAGACTTGTCAAGGAGTTGTGTGAACTTGCTGAGAAAACCAGGGGTGGAGAACCTTGAAGCAGCTGGGATCCATCTGGAACTGTACAAGGAAGCAGGGACTGGCTACTGTTGTGACACCAAAGGATCAGGTTCAATGCAGGATTATGGAGAAAAAAACATGTATAATCACAATCAAATTACGTTTTGCACTGTAGCTAGGGGCACATTAGTCTTATTACAACTATGGATTATTTCACAGCTGTGCTTTTCTGGAAAAAGTGGTAAAACAGCTCTATGCCATCTCAATTTTTGATTATAAATGGCTATATTATTATTAATTTGAATTGTGATACCAACAGCTGTTGCTCAAAAGCCATATACTTAGATAGGCTGATTTGTTCTAATGCGTTCAAATCGATATTGGTTGAAATAAATATAATAATAAAACATTGCATAAATAATTCACACACAAAAAAATAAAACAATTTTAGATCAGAAAATAATTTAGATTACAAAAAGACTTGAGAAAATACCTTTTGGAGGTCACTTTTAAACTGCACAATAGCTGTGCAAGTCGGAGGCAACCAAATGATGTGTTTCCTTACACGTATAAAACTACCTAAAACAAATAGCAAAGTGTCAAAAAGCCATTAAACTGAAACCAGACATTGGAGCAAGGAGGGGCTCACTTAGACAGCCCCTGAAGGGGGATGATGTGGGATATGCTAATGGATATTAGTCTCTGTGGACCAACCTCCTTTAAAGGTGATATATATAAAGCTGGTGCTTCACCACAGAAACACTTAACCTAGGCTTACTAATTATTGAGGAAATCAGCAAAGATACTCCAAAGCCATTTCCTGAGCCTTGATCGCTTGAACCTGAGCTCACATCTTTGTATCCTCCCCAGCAAAACACTGAGAATGGAGATAGTAGATGGTTGCCATTTTTCCCCATCTGAATTCTTCTATGACAGCTCCTGTATCCCTTCTCCAGAGGATGAATTTACAGATGACTTTGAGCATGAGATGTCTGTCTACGGTGCTCCTAAGAAAGGCTTCCAGGAATCTGATGAAGAGGAGCATGTCAGAGCACCCACCGGTCACCACCAGGCTGGCCACTGTCTCATGTGGGCATGCAAAGCCTGCAAAAGAAAGTCATCCACTATGGACAGAAGGAAGGCGGCTACAATGAGGGAGAGAAGGCGTCTGAAGAAAGTGAATCAGGCTTTTGAAAACCTTAAAAGATGTACCACAGCAAACCCCAACCAAAGGCTGCCCAAAGTGGAGATTTTAAGAAATGCTATCAAATACATAGAAAGCCTCCAAGATCTTCTTAGAGAGCAAGTCGAAAGTTACTACAGTCTCCCAGGACAAAGCTGCTCTGAGCCTAACAGTCCAGAATCCAGCTGCTCAGAAGGCATGGTGAGTACAACAAGACAGTGTACCACTCATCACCCTGCATTGCGTGTCACTTATCTTTGCTGCATAGTGGGGCTGGCGTATGAAAACACCACAAACAAGGTGCTGTTGCCTATAGCAACCAGAGTATACATTGCATTTTTTTCCAGTGTAACACAGAAGGTAAAGCACCCAGCTTAAATTCTAACTAGTTGCTATGGATAACCAGACAGTAGTTACTGATTCCAGGTTTCATAAATCAGCCTCTGCCTATTTGCAGTTATTTGTTGCTTAATGGTACAGCATAGCTTACTGTATCGTGATATTTTGCAGTAATGAGTCCTAAAAATACAATTGTAGGTTTCCCTTTTCCTCAGTCATGCATGAAAGCAAATACTATAGGTTGATCTAATGTAGAAGCAGTAAAGCAATACAAAAGGTAATGTGCTTAGATTGTATGTACACAAAGCCCGAGCTAAGAATTCCCAATTCTTTCTCATGTGAGCCGGCTCTTAGAAGATGTATATTGTTACCATTTAGTGTACATGTTCCAGGTTGGGAACAACACTGGGAAACAGATCTGCAGTGAAATTAGTGTGGCCTCCCCCGTCCTCAATCCATTCTTCATGCTTAACATGTTACACATTTTTGTGAGATTTCAATTTTGCCATGCGGCTCCTTTTTCACAAAAGCTCTGAATTACCACCAGTTGATGTCATAAAAGCTTGGGAGATTTTCCAATGTTCTCAGTCAAGGTGTCACACAGAAAACTGCTAATGTGGCTCATAGACAGTTCTAGTCAATGACCTTTAAAGCAGATCCCTTTGAATCAGTGGTTTTATGGGACCCTTTCTTGTGTTTTTTCAGGCAGACTGCATCAGCCCACAATGGAGAAGAAATAGCGGCTTCAATAGTGCCTATTGCACTGACTTACCAACATGTAAGTATTTCGAATGCACTGTATTGATGTTCAGTAATCAGAACCACAAAGCCTGCCATTCGCTTAGTCTCCATTACTACACTACAAGTCGTGGCACACAATGGTAAAGTGCGCTGAGACTTGTAGTTCCGCAGTAGCTGAAAGACCACATGTCGTCTACCTCAGCCTATACTGTAATATGTCAATATCTATCCGAAAAGCGATACTAATACAACGCTAACATTTTTTTTATGTGTTTGCTCCACAGCCTTTGCTTCAAACAAGCTCTCAGCACTCTCCAGCCTTGACTGCCTGTCTAGTATAGTGGACCGCATTGCCTCTTCCGAGCAATGTGGTCTCCCTCTGCAAGATTCCATCTCCTTATCTCCATCCAACAGTACTGACTCCTTGCCAAGCACCCCTGAGACTCCAGATTCCAGACCTGTGTATCATGTGCTTTAATCTCAGTGGCATCAGCTTTAAACAGCCTGTGAACTACATGAAGACATTTCCTAATATTCAGAGGATCAATAGCCTTTCATATAGACTGCAAACAAAAATGTGTATATAAAGACTTTTTTTTTTAACAAAGCTAAATTATATTTTTTCTTGGCTACCAATCGTATTTAACTGGACTCTATATAATCTTAAATCTTGAACAGAAAACAACACAATCTTCTTGTTAAAAATCTGAAAAGAAAAATGACTATTTAAAAATGTTCTTTCTTGTTCTATTTAAATGACATTTAGTGCACTTTGTCATTTAGATATGAAAATGTATAACAAAACGATCTTGCATGACATCCATCAAAATTTGAAAAGTTTTTTTTTTTTAATTACGTTTATATTCTAAGATGAGAGCTACATACACGTTGTGAACTGATATATTGTATTGATTGTATTAATGGAAATACAGAAGTACAAATAGCTTTCTGCTACTGCTTAAATGTCCTGAACATTACAAAATGTTTTTTTAAATGATATGATATGTGCATATGTGTAACAAATGTTGGAAAAACAAGATTACATTATAGTAATAAATATTTAAATAACCACCTCTATAAAGAGCAATATCAAACAAGTTTATTTAAAAGATGCAGTAACCCATAACAACCAGTTGAAAATTCCTTCGCAGATCCTTTTTAATTAAGTGCACTGGTTGCTTTGGATTATTGCACATAATTATTGCTCTGTGTACTGCCTTAAATAAGCAAAAAGCATTATGATAATCTTAGCCTAATGAAATACATATTTCTCATTCCCTCTATCTTTGTAGCATATGGAAGCTCTCAAATGTATATTTGCAGATAATGTTTTGCACATAATTTTTCTTATATTACTTTAATTAATAAAAAAGTTAAACTAAATGAAGGTTTCCCAATTTTACTTTCAACAGTAATTTCACAATTTTACAAGAACAGTTGAGCTATTTTATAATAATTATGTAATCATACATAGTGTAAAGAAAAAAAAACGGGTTCTAGGGTTCGCTGATAAAGTAGAAATGAAATGTATTTCTGCCAATCATCATTACACCTGGTCAGGGTCAGCTCCAGAACCGCTATTTTTTAGGGTGACCATACACTTTAAGGCCTTGTGCACACCACAGTAAAATAACACAATGCAAAGCGTTTTCAGTTTATGGATCTGAATGCAGATATATTGTTTTCAATGGAGCCGTGCTCACAGATATGAAAACATGCTCTGTGTTCAGATCCCTAACACTCAATTAAAAAATCTGCGTGTGAGGACATAAATTTTATGCACGTACACATGTAAATGCATGGTTATAAATATACTTGTATATACATAAGTGCATAAAGCAGGAGCAGGAGCTATGGAACAAGAATTGTACACATGTAAACACACACCTGTTTCCGTGTGTAAACACAAGCACTTTACTGATCATTGCCCAGGAATTTTTTGACCAGAAAAAAAAACATGGGTATTTGATCAGCAAAGTATTACAGGTCTGTGCATCTAGCCTAAGACTTTTTTTTATTTTGCTACAAGCTCAATTGCAGAATATACTGTAAAGCAGCCTTTCTCAACAGAGCGTGATGTAAAGGGGGGACTCTGATGTGAAGAGGGGACTCTGATGTGAAAGGTGGCGTGATTGTGTTCTTGCGTGGGGTGCACCCTATCTGGGATAAAGGTCTGGTATGGCTTTTGGAGGGACCCCACGTAATTTTTTACATTTATGGTTTTTACATTTTGGACTGAGGAGCCTCAAAATTTTGTTTACTTCCAAAGGGTGCCATGGGTGAAAAAAGATTAAGAAAAGCTACTGTAAAGAACAGACAGGAGATGACCTTTTGCCAAGAGACAGATGAAAGCAAAATCAAAGGTGACTAGTTTTTTTGCTAGTAAAAACTAATGGTTTGCACTTTCTGTTGTAACTATGTGTAAAATATGTGTCTTAAATTTGCTCTTTTTAAAAAGAGAACAGACATGCTTACAAATGACATGGCCTTTTATATAAAGACTAGGCTCAAATTACAAAGTTAACACCCCTAGCTAAGGATCCTTAATTTATAAAAAAGGGACAGTTATTTTCAGCTAAGTCCAATGAGGCAAAACATATCACAGATAGTAAAGTTACATTTACTGTAAGGCATGCCTGACATGCGCCATAGGTGCCTCAGCTGAAGGGATGCCTATTGTAGAGCCTTGAACTATTCTAAACAGCTGGTGAGCAAGGGGTGGGGTAGCACTGTGATATTACAAACTTCATAACAATAACTTTTTCCGACAAAGTAAAATCAATGGCCCAGGATTTGTACCTTGTAGCTGTGGCCCAGATCTACAAAAGAAGCGCTCCCCAGTACAGACATTGACATCACTTTGTGCCAGTGAGGCGCTTTTCCTATAGTCATGGGTCACATCTGCATCTAAGGCTGGAAACAGCAGGAATTGTATAACTGATATACTAAAAACCACCAATGCTATTTTGTCTGAATTGGGAAATTGACTTTGTAAAGACTTCATTATAGACTTTGTTAAGCCACTGAATCACCAAAATGTTAGTCAAAGGCACGCATTGACGATTAAGGTGAGAAAAGAAGCAAATTTGTCACTTTCCTGCTACCCAACAGCCAGCCACAAACCTGACTGACAGGAGTCTACATCATCTTTTGTCCATCTGCACAATACATAGTTACATAGTTAGTCCGGTCAAAAAAAGTCCTTCAAGTTAAGCCGACATAAAAATATATTGATAGAAAACCTGTATTTTCAGAAGCAAAACAAAAAATTATTGTAATACGTTTATAAATTTCTGCCTAATTACTGTTCTAGCAGTGCCTTAACACCAGTCAATTTTAATTAAGTTAACACTCCTATTAATACCATTTCCCCAGCCTGTGTAGCCCTTTCTAATTGTGCAAGAAGCTCAATCTTTAACTCCTCATTAAAACTGGGGGGAATCTGTAATATGCCCCACTATTTAACTTAGCAATACGCACACCATAATGTCTCAGTTCCATTACACTCTCCACCGACAAGATCATCTTTCCTCTGGAGGCAGACACCACTTTACAATTTACTCTGTCTCTGTAAGGAAGAGCAGAGCCAGGAAAATTAACGGCCCAGTCATGTGAAGAATCAATTAAATCTATCGTTCTTTCTGCACCAAAGTTTCCATATTTAATCTATCATGGCATTTTGCAGTTAGATCTACACTATAATTTTATATTGTACAAACGTTTACTGTATTCATCATTTTATTATAAAATGGGGATCTCATCATCTTCCATAACTTCACCCCAATCTTCTCCCATTTCACCCCCCAGTAGTGCATGACCCCTATCTGACTTATCTGCCCCTATTATTTTCAAACATACTCTCCCCCCTCCTTCCTAGTTTAAATACCTTGTCATGCTACTTATGAACCGTCCATGAGGCATAGAATCTAAGGAACAGCACAATATTCACCAGTGCACCCAGCAAAGTGCTGCGGGGCAGCACCCAAGTTGAAGCCCTCCCATGCACCCAGACTGGCAACTGGCAAGAATGATGAAGTACATAATTAAGAAATAACAGGCAGGAGCTTAGGACAGGTGGCAGACAGGAACCGTAATGACAAACAAGCAGAAGTTCAGGGCAGGCAGCAGACAGGAATCATAGTCAGGGGCAAGCCAGGATGTCAACAGCAATCAGAAAATGGAATTGGAGATCAGTAACAAGGACATGAGATCGAGGTCTGGGAAAAAGTCACAAAGCAAGTTCTTTGTTCAGGCAATTCCAAATTGCACTGAGCAAGTTTAAATAGGTTCTCTGGACATAACACTAAGGCAAGTGCACAGCTTCTGTTATATTAAAAGCAAGAAAAGGGAGCCAAAACACACAGGCAGAATATAACCTATAGGAAAGAACTGTTAAACTGACAGATAGTTCAAGGGAAGAAGAAGACCCTTATGCATGGAAGAGGAAGCCACAGCAAGCATATAGCACAAGTGAGAAACAGATAGATGCTGCTGAAACACACCTGCAGCAGGGACAGGTGCAGACACCTGCTCAGGTTCTTCCTAAAGAGAATGACCTGTGACATCCATAAATCTCTCCTCTTGCATAGCAGACTCCCTTGCATTTAGGTGCAAAACATCTTTAGGATATAGGTTGCATCCCAATGAAAAGTTAGCTCAGTGCTACACAAATAGGATACATTTTTGTTAATAGTTAAGGTACTTGAAAATATTTTTAAGATTTAACTCCTGAGTTTAGTGTCACTTTAACTTAGCATGTATTTATTTTGTTACAGGTATTTTTATGGCACCGACAATTTATGCAGCACTTTACATACTGTACATTCACATCAGTCCCCTCCTCATATGTATACATACATGCACACACATACTGCCAATTTAAACAGAAGCCAATTAATCTACCAGCATGTTGTTTTTGGAATTTGGGAGGAAACCAGTACCCAGGGGAAACCCACGCAAGCATAGGGGAACATGCAAAACTCCATGCAGATAGTGTCCTGAACAGGATTCAAACTGGGGGTGCTCCTTTTCTGAGATCCCTTGCCATGCCCCCTAGCTACAGCTCCCTACCTGATCATCCTCCACACTCCCAAATCTACCCCATTAACTTCTCATTGAGCAGAAGATGCTTCTTAAAGGAGGACTATGAGGTGAGTAATTTTCACTCAACCTCATAGTTCGAGCCAACGTGCGACAATTAAACTGTCACACGTCGGTTCATTAGATCAGGAAGTGAGCAAACACATAACGTCGCTCACTTCTCGATCATGTCCCTGCAGAGTGCCGTGACTGTCACTCGCGGCTCCCTGCAGGGATTCCCCCCCCGCCTCTCCGATCCTCCAGCGCTGACTGGCGGAACGGACAGGGGAGGGGGTAGGTACAGCTGGCTCTGCCTCTAGATAGGCAGACCCAGCTGTCACTCACGCAGCTGGGTGGATCTCGACAGTAATGATTGGATCCGTCCCGGCTGCGACTGTC